AAAAAAGAAAAAAGTGAACATCATAATAGTTGGTATTGCATTAAGAAGTCACAAAAAGGCAGTGCCTGTGGCTCAGTGAGTAGGGCGCCAGCCCCATATACTGAGGGTGGCGGGTTTGAACCTAGCGCCAGCCAAATTGCAACAAAAAAATAGCTGGGCATTGTGGCAGGTGCCTGTAGTACCAGCTACTCAGGAGGCTGGGGCAAGAGAATCGTCTAAGCCCAAGAGCTGGAGGTTGCTGTGGGCTGTGACACCATGGCACTCTATTGAGGGTGACGGAGACTCTGTCTCTTAAAAAAAAAGAAGTCACAAAAATTAGGTATGTTTGTGAAGTACTTGGTACAGAGCCTGGCACATTGTCTCAACAAACTTGTATTACCCCAACTCATACACATCTATTAGGTTTCCCTCCTAGACACTTAAACAGAGATGATTTTCACGGTTCTGTCTTGTGATGTCCCTGTGTGACCTGTATCCTCACCGCCAGTGCAAATTTGTGGATGGAACTGCTAAGGGATACTGGGACACTCCATCCCCAGGCCCCCCTTTCTAAGCGCTGATTCTTCAGAAGTCCAGGAGGATCCATAGTGTGGGAGGGAAGGAGTAGTTGGGTTCTTGCGGGAGTGACTAAATCTGCGTTCTATAAGCCTGGATGTTGGCATCCCAGGTTCCTCCAACTCCACCCGAATCTAGGTCTGAGCTGCATAAATTAAAGGAGGGGGCCACTCACTGGAAGGACCATGAGGTTTCCCGCAGGGATATGCAGATGACAAGCACCTCTGAGAGGAAGTAGGATGGTTTCCTGTCCAAATGCTGTAGCATTTCCTCCACTCCCCACCCCTCAGCATTATGTCATCAGGCACAGTCTTTCTCCCTCTCTGCTTTGGGCATAGAGGGGCCCTGAGGCCCCTAAGCCACAGAAGGGTCTTGGGTCCTGGACAAGGGCAAAACTGGCTGTCTCCTCTTTCACTGTGCAAATCCAGGTCAACCAAGCCCCTTTGGTGCACAGACACCACCCTGGGAATGGGGGCTCAGCCCCACTCATTCACCCCTAAGCAGCCCTGTGAGGCAGGGCTTTCATACATGAGGAAACCAAGGCTCAGAGATACCAGGGGACTTGCTCAAGATCACCCATCCAGTAAGGGAGGAAGCCAGGATTGGGACCCCAGTCTGGAGCTCTTTTTCCCCTCCTTCACTGTTACCTCCTGACTGGCATGGTCTGTGCCTCAAGGCTGGGCACAGGGCCTGGGTAGCCTCTACTGGCAGGAATCACTGCTTATTGTGCCGCCCCAGGACTGGAAGCCGCCCTTACCTGCAGTTGCCGAGACAAGGCCTTGGCCCTGCCTCAGCCCAGCTTGGCCCTTGTGCAGGAAAATTTGAGGGAAGAATTGGCTGAAAGGCAGGAAGAGTTGCAGCAGGAAAGAGGCCCCAGCCAGTTATGAGGCTTCCCAGGCCTCCTGGTGGTGGGGTCCCTGAGGGAGAGCTGTAGGTGGAGGCCAGCACCCAATCCCTAAGCAGGCTCACACAGCTCCCTCAGCAAAGGTGACATCAAGACAGCAGAAATTGGCTCGATGCCTGTTGTTCAACAGCTAGGGCTCCAGCCACATACACTAGGACTGTGGGTTCAAATTCATCCGGAGCCTGCCAAACAATGATAACTACAACAAAAAGATAGCTGGGCATTGTGGTGGGTGCCTGTAGTCCTAGCTACTTGGGAGGCTGAAGCAAAAGAATCGCTTGAGCCCAAAAGTTTGAGGTTGCTGAGAGCCATCATGCCACAGCACTCTACCAAGAGCAACATGAGACTCTGTCTCAAAAAAAAAAAAACCAGCAAAAACTGGGGCCACAAGTCTCCAGGGGTGGACAGAGAGACCAAAGGGGCCAACCATAGCCATGGAGTTGAGGTTGGGAACCCCCTAGAAAATCCTCTGTTTGAAGGGGAGACGCAAGCCTGTCCTAGTCTACAGTCCTTGCTATCGGGGGACAGGGCTGATGAGTGAGATGGCCCCTATTCTTGTGAAGTCCTTGTCTTCTGAGGGGCACCACTTTGAGGACAGAGATAACCCATGACTTCAGGAGGGAAAGTGGGTGAGGGAAACTGAAACAAGCATACTGTTTGGGAAGCAGAGCTGAGACAGCACAAGATGCAGGGAGGTAGGACTTCAGGGCCTAGGGAGTGGGGCATAGTCAAGGGAGAGGCAAGGTGTTTAGGCAAGTCTGCTTGGAGCTAGGGAAGATGAGTGGCTATGGGGGCCAAGAGACCATACAATTGAGCACCCACTTGAACTGGCCCAGGGAAGACTCACTCTGGAGACCAGTCAGATCACCCCAACAGAAAGTCCAATGTACCAGGGCCACAGATGTGGTTAGAATGTGCCTCAGCTAAAGAGGCCTGGACCACAGATTGGGCTCACTCTATAGTCTTGGACTCATACAGGGGACCAGAGTGCAGCCTCAGGGCCCTCCATTGTGAAATGACAACCCCCACCTGGCCTTTTGGGAGGCACACTTGATCAGGGCTTACTCATGTGGAACAGGAACATAGATCCAACAGGTGGGCAGGATGCAGTCACCCTGGAGTGTGGGGAGGGTGGGGACCAGATGTACTAGTCCCCTCTGGTTCCAGATAGAGGACAGAAATAGGCCCATAGGTGGCCAGAGAGGAGTAGGACCCTGAAGTGTGGGACGTGCCTCTCACTGATTAGCTGTGTGGAGTTTGGGACATTCACATGGCCTCTCAGAGCCTCAGTTTCCTCATCTGTAAAATGTGAAACATAATTCTTCCTTTGGGAACACCACACAGTAGGCCCTCATTCCCCAGAAGCCTCCTTACCCTATATCTTGGAGATTTTTAAGATGTCTCCAGAGTGAGAAAGGAATTGGCTCAGGCTTGCTGAGCATCTGGGTCTGGAGTGGCAGGTGGTTGGGGGTGGGGGAGTCACCTCGTTCCCAGCATTGATGTCAGCGCCTCCTGGGAAATCGCCTTCTCACCTCTCCTGGGCCTAAAATAGAGTGGGGGGGGGGGAATTGCTGTCACAAGCCAGAGACAGCTCCCTCATCCCCAGCAGAGGCCCTGGGGAAGCAGAGGACCAAGGAAGGGGTTCCCTGCCTCCAGTCCTGTTTTTCAGTGATCTGTGGTCCCCCAGTGTGGGTACAAAAGTCATGGTGAGGCCTCATCAGCAGCCTGCCTACACACATCCTCCCATACCCCAGCCCATCTCAGGTATCTGGCTCTTGGCATCCCTAGCAGAAGTCAGGGATCCCAGCCTTGGCATTGGGACCCATCTTGCCCAGGAGCCCAGGAACTTGGCTGAGGGCACATCCGGGGAGGTAGGTTGGGAGGTCGAATATTTTACAAGAGAGGGGAGGTTGGGGAGTAGGGGGAAGCTCCAGAGTTGTTTTTTGCTTCTCAAAGATTTGGACTAGCAAGGAGGGGGGCAGAAATGGGGCGTTCTAAGAGCGTGTAAATGACCTGGGTTAATATTTAATTTAGGGGAAGGATTAGGGTGCCCTGTGCGAGGGACTCAGGAGCCCAGAGGTAGTATCTAACCCCTCCTGGTAGTTGCGGTGACAACAATCCCTGCCGCCCCCCTGGAGGCCTGGACCCTTGCAGGTGGGAAAGGGTCTGGGTGCGGGTGTGGGAGAACTCCGCAGTGACAAGCTCTGCTGCAAATGGGCAAGAAATCCTGGAGGCGAGGAGCAGAGCGTTGGGCAAAAGATCCTCTGCCCCCGCCCTCCTAGCTCGCACAGCCTTGGGTCACCAGCGCTCCAGCCTGGGGTTGGGGCAGGCCCCTCTTGGGTTAGCGGTCGGCGGCCACGCCCCCTCCCCAGACCCGCAGTTTGCGGGTCAGAGCCCGGGGTCCCTCTATACCCTGCTCCCTCCCCAAAAAAAATCTACGGATCGTCAGAGATTCTCGAGCAATGGGTGGCCAAGGAAGGGGCCGCGAGATGGGGACGTGGCGCGCCTTTTCCCTACACCTGCGGAGCGGGTACCCGAGGAGGTGCCGGGCAGCGGGGGCCCAGGCGGCGCCTCTTTTGTCCTCTTGTCGCTGCAGCCCCGGCCCCGCGGGACTGGGGGGGG